CCCCCCCCCCCCCCCCCCTCCCTCCCAGTAACAGTATGAAATTCACTCAAACGATCCTTTATGATCAGCAACTGAAAATGTTCGTAGCACGATTCATCCCGGCTAGTATTTTTCGCAACTGTTCCTGGATAGGTCTAATAAATGTATACAATCGAAATTGTCATTTACAGAACCCTTCAACAATGAGGCTCGACAAGGGTGTAACCTAGGTCGCTTGTCACTCATTTTGTAGCTGCTTTGTCGCTTGTTTTATTGTAAATGTCGCTTTCACTTTTGACCCATAACACAAATCGCAATCTGTCGCTTTTTCTCAGTCCAGAAGCTGTCGTTTGTCACTCTTTTTTAGATAGTCTGTCGCCTCTTTTTAAGGAATGTCGCCTGTCGGTCATAATCCCTTGGTGGGCCTCAACAATTAGCTCTATAAATCGATATGTCAAAAAAACTTCCCGATATTGTGCGGGTTACCTATTTTACTTGGCAGTGGGAGAGCCGGACTGGCTCGGTTAATTAACTGGGATGATTCGTTTAATATTAAAGCTCTGTATAGCCTTCTATCACGGCTTTAATAAACATTCAAAATGACATCTCAAAGTTGAATTGGGTGAATTTGATTCCAATAACAGTGTAATGTTTATTCAAACGATCTTTTAGGGTCAGGAAAACATCTTCATGACACGATTCATCCCGACAGGCTGTGACCCCGTGCTCATAAGAACAGCAAGCCCCGCCGGCTCCATACAATGCGAAACAGGTTCGGATGTAATACTTTTTGTTTGTGGAAACACCACGTAAATTTATTACTGCAAAGCTTTCGATCCGTAAGCCTTCGTCAATCCTTAAATTATATGTTTTATCGCCATGCAAACCTACAGGGAACTTAGGTTAGGATGTGTTACGATAAGCACTCCAGCTAAGCACTCATGCATGTCAAAACATTTTAATCTCCGCTCGTCCATAGCAAAATACCTGCAAAACCTATCGCGCTCCCGCGTGTCTACATTTCAACGTTGAATGACAGTCTTAATTAAAACTTTGGAAAGCGATCCGTGGTTGACGTTCTACAATACTGGCCAGCAATTGTCTTGAAAAAGTTCTTGATCGCCCAATTCAACATGTACAGGACTACAGTAAAAGTAATGGCCATCTTTGTTGGGGGATTTTTAGTCAAGAGAGCATCAGCTAAGGACAATGCTACTAAGGAATCTGAAGAAATACCGGTTAAGTTAGAAGGCAAACGAGAAAGCGAGATAGCTAATTCACACAATATCGACAGTCTAAGTATGTTAATATTTACGAATTTACTAATATTTACAGTCCTAATGACATGGTTGTTTAAAATCCGCCGATTTCGTTGCTTCCACGAAACCGGTGTCGCTACCGTCTTTGGTATTGTTGTCGGAGCGGTTATAAAGTACAATCGATTCCACGACACTTACAACAATTCGATAACGGTCGATAATTGCAACAATCTTAGCGTAGCGCCCGAAATCCTAAAAGTCAACATCAATGGAACTTTCTATTCCTATAGTTTTAAAGGAATCATTTACCGCGATGACGATGCGCACGAAAACGAACTCGAGGCGCGCTCGACGTTTAATCCGGAGATATTCTTCCACGTGTTGCTACCGCCGATCATATTTTCCGCTGGCTACAACATGAAGAAGCGTTACTTTTTTCGCAATTTGGGCGCGATTCTGACGTACGCTTTTATCGGTACTATCATCTCGACTTTTTCAACCGGCGCAATGGTGTATGGCTACAACGTTTACATGGGCGTTCCCGAATCGTTCGATTTCACAGAGTGCCTACTGTTTGGGGCAATGATAGCAGCTACTGATCCGATCACTGTTTTAGCTATAGTAACAGATTTACAGGTCGATGTGGATTTATATGCCTTGATATTTGGGGAAAGTATTTTCAACGATGCGGTCGCAATAGTTCTTTACCGTGCAGTGGAAAACTACTTGGCCTATCAACCGATTGCTAAGCGGGAATTCGACCTGTATTCCTTCCTGTGGGCACTCAACAGTTTCTTTTCAATATTTTTCGGTTCTTTACTAATTGGTATCGGTGTAGCGTGTACGAACGCGTTAGTAACAAAACTTACAAAAATCGGAAGTTTTCCCATTTTGGAAACGGCGTTATTCTTCGTGATGTCCTACAGCAGCTTTCTAGCAGCCGAAGTTGTAAATTGGTCCGGGATTGTTGCGCTACTGTTTTGCGGAGTTACGCAACAGCATTACACTTATAAGAACCTTTCGGAAGCATCGCGCACACGAACCATACAAACTTTCGAGCTTTTGAATTTTCTATCAGAAAACTTCATTTTTTCCTACATCGGTCTATCCCTCTTCACATTTACAACTCATATTTGGGACTTCCGTTTTATAGCGTGGTCGTTCCTAGCAATTACAGTTGGACGAATCTTAAACATCTATTCGCTCAGCTTTTTCCTGAACTTAGGAAGATCCGGGACGATTTCATGGAATTTTCAACATATGATGATGTTTTCGGGTCTTCGAGGAGCGATAGCGTTCGCATTAGCCGTACGGAATACGGTTTCCATGCCTCGGCAAATGATGCTCACGGCGACTTTGTCCATAGTTCTGGTATCAGTGATTCTCATAGGGGGTGCCACAACTCCGGTACTGAAACTCCTACAGATTAAGACCGGGGTTGATGAACACCAGGAGGAGTTAAAAGCTCGTAGGCTAAGCTTGATTGATATCAATGATCCGACAGTTAGCACTCCGGAGGAAAGACGCGAGAAGAAACAGTATGAAAGCGCGTGGCTCGTTAGAGTTTGGTGTAACTTTGATAACAAATACTTGAAGCCGATTTTCACAGAAGAACATGACAGCTAACGCATGGGGGGCTTTAGGTTTGCCCATTGCCTTACATTGACTGAATAGAAATTTATTAACAGTAGCCTCTCTTCCCCCTTAAATGTGATCGTGAATAACCCACAAGTCTCATTATGTAATATTTCAAATCCGACTATATGAGGACTGGACAAGTCCGCGCAATTTGATCATGTTCGAGGCGAAGTTTGATCATGTCCAAGGCGTATGACATCTCATACGAATAAATCCCTACTTAATTCATTTTGATCCAGTCCTAGGACAGGATCAACAGAGACCTTATGATTTAGGACGGAAAGATAACGATAACGGCTACCCGATACAAGAAATCATTGAAAATAATTGAATAATTACAATATATGAATAACATAGACTTGTCCTTCGCTCTATTTACAACGCCAAATCACAGATTTTCACGTCTTGGTACAACGGCTGCATTTCATGGATTTCAAGCCGCAACAAGTGCAACTTAAAACTGGGTTAGCAGAACTCTTCCCAACCATAAAACCCATGTCTTCAACTTCTAAGACTGTATTAAATTCATGTACGATTGATAATATACGACAAATTATCTTTATACTACCATTTATTTGAAGGAGCTTGTTTTGGCCGTCGTCGTCACGTTGTCGTCCTGTAATCGTAAGGTCTCTAATATCCTTCATCAGGTATCCAGTGTTATCATGTGAGCAAAATAAAGCAATTACTCATGAATTATTAATGCTTTGAGATCTGGTGTTCAATTAAAACGTTCATTAGAAGAGATGTGGGAAAAGACTTTTGGTTAACAATGTGGCTAATTGACCACTTGCGTAATAGACTAAATTTTGATCTAATCAAGGCTAAACAAAAATTACATCACAGCTTGAAAGAGCATCACCAAATTAGTAATTTCCAAAGTTTCGTTGCGAAATGTTGTAATATGCGGATAATATAGCCTTGCGAAGTTCGCAATTTTCAGTCATATTAGATTACAAACGGGAAATTGACAGCCCCAAAGGGTACGTATCAGGCTGTCAATTTCCCGTTTGTAATCTAAAATGACTGAAAATTGCAAAGTTAACTTAGTCTATTACGCAAGTGGTCAATTGAAAGTTGTTATCCGATTTGTAGAGATTTTGACAGAATTTAAATCTCATCTCATCGTTGGCTTCAAAATTGGCCGATTGAACTCAAAACAATACTCTATCCAGTACTATAGTTTTGATATCAGTGTTGCCTCTGTTGTGCGCTCATTTTCTTCACCAGTAACGTAATGAAAGTCCCTGCGGATGGGAAAGTTCGAGCACAACCGTATACGAATTCGGGTTATTGAATGCTTCGCGCATAATAGGATCAGACGTATAGGGTTGCGATATATATCGTAATTTTTATTGCTAAGTCACTCTCTGCCAAGTTATGCAATTCCGTTTTCACTGCAATGTAACTGTTTTGATATCAATTAATCTATTAAATAGGAATTAACTAAAAATTCTGTGTGTTTTGCTCATTGATGTCCCCCAAAAAAGGGCAACGTCTTAACCTGAGAGCCATATAGATCAAGGTTAAGGTTTCCTCGAACTTTAAACTTACTTCCAGCAACCATGGTCTTCGTCTTCTCCTTGTTTACTACCATCCTGTTGTTTTCTGACCACTTCATCACTGGTTGTAAATAACTATTCAATTGATGTTCCACATCCTGTAAGTTCTATACAGCCACATAATTCATTTAGAGAATGAACAACAAAGGTTCCAATATCGATCCTTGTGAAACACCAGATACTACGTTAGCTTTTGAAGATACGTTATTGTCCATTGAAATTGCCTTTCTGTAAGATATGAAGTGAACCACGATATTGTATTGTCATCAAGAAGTACTGTTGCGTTTGAAGTAGTGTGGCACGATATTGTTTTGTCATCACATAATTAATGTCGCGTTTGAAGTAGTGTTGCGTGGCCGACAAGATCAAATGCTTTTCTAGGTCAATCATAGTAAGACCAATAATCCTACCTTTGTCCATGTTATTTAATAGATAGTCGGTTATTTTAATAACAACTGACATGAGTGATTCTTACGAAAACCGACAGTTGAGATAAAACGTTGAATGTCGCAAGGAACTATAGAATCTCATCGAATACACGACGTAAATTGAATAAAGAAATGAAAAACCGTTCTTTTCTATTTTCTCATTATTTTGACATCTCATCAGCAGTACAACAATGCGTGTGGGAGGGTATTTTGCTGGAGGTTGGTTCATAATACGGGCGGTACGCAGTATTTCTTCACCAGGGGAGGTAGTAATGTCAATTCAGTC